AAAGACTCATAAAACTATTATTACGTTTACTTCTGGAAAATACATAAGGAGATTTATAGTTATCCTAAAATGATTGCTTTAGTGCTATTCTATGTGGTACTCAAGCTAGGCATTAAATAACATTAAAGAACTGAAACTAAGCTAAGAATATGAACCAAYTGAGTGAAGCTCTGTTTTTAACTACTTTTTTTTTTTTAAAAAAAGTTTTCTGTTAACATGCACAAGCTTGTGGGTGCCCAGCCACTACTGCGGATACTACAGAAAGAAGTAGCTCACTAGGTCAAGATCCCCAGGCCCTCCGACTTCTCCCCCAGCATCTGCCAATTCTCAGGACGTGCCAGGTTCAATGCCATCCATTCAATCTCCTCCAGTTATTCTTCCTCTTTACCAGAAGGGAAAGGTAAGATGCCAGGTGTCTCACTGTATCTGTACTGGCCTCAAGAAGTAAAAAAGTAATTTCTAAACCAAGGACATATCTGCAAACAAACCTTACTGCATGAAACCAGGATCTTATTTCTGTAACCCCATCTACCTTTATGCAGACAGCCCATAGACTGCTCACTGCTTTTGTTCTTAACTTGTTAGGAAGAATTTTTAAGTCTCTGTGATCCTCATATTTGGCAACATTTGGCTCCTGTCTGACACAGACTCACTCTTCTGTGGCCTGCATGGGTTTTTGGTGTTCCAAGCAGAAGGAGCCAGAGAACACAGCCATGACACTCCTTGCCACTCTTACTACAGCCCAGTCTGCCAGATAAGCTGGCACAGAGCTGTCATCTTTTCTCAATGAGTGTAAGGAATAATCAGAAAATAGAAAAGGAAATACATGCTGTCTTCTGGAAACTGTCTTCCAAAGGAACAGCCTCTGCCTGCCTACCCTTTCACACTGCCAGCATGGCACAACGAGATCATGTAAGGAAAGCAGAGCTCATTTGCCTTCTTARTTATGTGACACGGCACTGGGGGAGAATTCTGAGACATCTTGAAGGGTCTTCTGGAGACCTGGGCAAGGACTGTGCCACTCTTCATAAAGCTCAGAGAGCCACTTCACAGCGCTGAACCTGAACAGTTTACGTGTGGCTCCCATTGCAGATGGGCAGCAGTGCCTCTGTCTATGGTGTCTGACGTAAGAAGAGAAACAGTCAAGCTCCTTTCCYTCCCTACAGAACAGTTTTCCTTCCCATTCTGAGCACAGGTCAGTGACATAGGTAGGCCACATACAGGAATTTCAAGAAGGAAGGACTTACAATTATGTCCTCATCCCCTCTGCTAGCCAGGTTGTGACTGAGTTCATTGGTAGTGGTATAAGACAGATAAGAAAACATAACTCGGCCTCCTACACACTAATTATCTTTCAGCTCTCCATAGAGTGACAGTTTTGACATCTCCAGAGGGCTTAATCTACATCAGAAACTAATTAAAGTTAAGAGGAAAGATTCTCATCCATACCTGGAGCAATACAGCTAGCAGCTTCCRAGGACACCCAGGCCAGCTCAGGTGTAAGACGTGTGCCAGCGTACAGTGTTGCTCACCTATGTCACACCTGAACTACTGCTACATACTATAGAACTCTAATAGCTAAAGCTGTCTAGAAGCAATAGAAAAGGTATTTCAGTTCTCCTACCTCTTGCTTGACTGCAGCTCTTCTGTTTTCTCCCTCTTACAGYTATATCAAAGTATGAGCAAGACTGATTTTTAAACAACACAATCAAAGAAAAAGATAGGCTGACTCTCATTTAAAAGTGTGCATATGAGAGAGACAAATGAGGAAAATACTGACCTTACATTCCCAAGTTGACACTTCACCAGCGCTAAATAGAAGCTACTGCAATAAAAAAAACTACAGTGACTGTTACTAGAACTACTAAAATTAGAAAAAGAAAAAAAAAAGAAGCCTCCTCATGTGAAAGCTGTTAGTCTTGCTGAGCTTTATAGTTGATATAAACTATACAACTATACAGGTACAACTATAGTTGTATAGTTGATGGTTAGCTACACAACCATTAGCTGTAGCTTAAACAGGACACTATCAAGGCTGGCAGGCCTACATCCATAGAGGAAACTGGCTTCTGCACCTCTTAGGCCTATATGGCTGCTAAGTCAGAAATGACTGGATGCTTGTGAGAAAAATCTCCCTCTCCTGATCTCACTCTGACGTCCTGACTCTAAAAACATCATTTCCTTCCTTCAAATTCCATTAACAGCAACCTGCTTTCTGTATTTGTTTTCAGAACTAAAAATGCAGAATAAGTGGAGAAATATTGCACAGCAGGTGCTGTGCAGGTCTTTGTTCCTCCCTGGATAGGTGGGGTTTTATATTTTAATTGTGCTGCTCAGAAGTTAACCAGATTCACTGCCTCTCCTCTTTTCTGCCTTTCTATATTACCAGGGCTGCATAYGAGGGGGCTGAGGGTGTGGTGGAAGAAAATTTAGAATCTCCATATAGATATTGTTGGAGCTGGTGGTATTTCTGATCTTAAAGTAGAATACCAATATATACAAAGTTGTATTACTAACAACAAGAAGAAAATAAATAATACTAATGAATCTCAGACAATCCAAATTAGCAACTAAACATAAAGAGCCCAAACTAATCCCTTCTGGGCGCTGGCAGTCCAACAGTTACTTGACAGCCAATGCAGAATAAATAATAAGACAAACTTATTTTTTGGAAGGAACCTCTTGGGAGGGGGAGGCAAGAAGGGAATGCAAGTTGTCTTTGTGGAATGTTGTCAGATGAGAATTAAAATTCCAGTCTTTACTGAGGCCTCTGCTGGAATGTACAAAACACTGGGTACATTCCCCCCATGCACACACACACTTCATGTTCTATTTTTCCATGCCATGCTGCTTAAAAGTTCACAGCTGCATTCTTAATAGGTTTCTCAGTAATCTTGGTACATAAACACAGTGACACCCAAAGCTGCATTCCTCAGCCCCGGAGCTTTAGCAGCAAACAAAAACTGCTTCACCCAGGACAGAGATATATCTGGCTCCATCAGAAGCTTCCCCGCGTGCTGCAGAAGACAGTTTAGCATACCTTCAGCAGCGGGACAGCCTGAGGCCAAGGAGAGCTCTAAACTTGAGGTTTGGGGCCTGAAACACAACTATTAATATTCATTTTACTGATGACTGCTTTACTTTTTCATTTTTCATCTGTTGTACTGTTGATCGTGGTTGTAATTGTGGTACTTTCAGAAACAGTAGAATACTCTTTCCAGGAATGGAAGATAGAGAAGACAGGGGTGGATTTTTCCTACAGTGTTTTCCTAGAAAAGATAATCTGAACACTGGAGAGAAAAGGAGGCCTAGAAAGGGGACAAACATCCCCTCAGAATAGATTATTCCACAGTTGATACCAGAACAATGCAAATATATTCCCTAATAACAATATAAAAACTATACAGGCTACTCATTGTAGGCAAATATGCATTAAATCACAAAATCATGTTGTATGATAAAGTCAGGTGCCAATTACTAGCCATTTTTAGAACCCATTCCCACTAAAGTCTGTGGCAAACTTCCCAGAGAAGTATAAATGGAGAGCTAGAGCTGCACATGTCTTATGATGCAGACAGTACTTGAGAAAATGTCACTGTGCACCTAACTCCCATTTGCTTTGCTAGAGATGAGAAAGATCTGCATTCTGGAAACCTCACTAAACATTACCTGAATTTCCAGGAAAAAGAAACACAAACATGTGCAAAGCCGACCTGTGGAGGGCTTTACAAACTCCACAGGGAGCCGAGGGACAGTGAGGCTGTCATGTGACAAGCAGGGAATCGCATCCTGAACACACTCATTGGGGCCGCAGGTGCTGTCTTACAAATTACTGTTAAAACTCAGAGACTAGAAAGTAATTCCCATATGCATCACACATAGAAAGGATTTCTACAGTACAAAGCCGGGTTCTACATAGGCTCTACATAACCCAACTCCTTATAGATTCTGCAAAAAAAATATGTTCTTGAAGACCCCACAGGAGGATTCCCTTGTTGGGAATTCTTCAATGACTACAAATACTGYTCAGCTGACAAGACTGAGTGCTGCACAAGGTGACTTATCACTAACAGAGTGAGTTGCTACTCACTAACTGCAGTTTCTATTGGACTCGCTGAGACAATTAGGCCAACAGCCAAGTTGGAATTTGAACTYATAAATGCAAAAGGCTGCTTTTCTAGAAATTGCTCAAGTGCACTTCGAATTACAAAAGAAAATCTCTACTTTCTGTGGCAGAAGAACTTCCTAGCTACGCAGCACTGAGCTTTTCAAGGGAACACTTTGCTCTAGATAACTGCTGTCAAGTCACATCTAAGCAATCATGTAATTCCATGAGTACAAGCTCTAAAGTCAGTTTTCCATGAATTTGTATCTCATGGTTTCACTGCCTGCTAATAATTCATAAGCTCATACTACAGCTTCCTGCTCAAGCAGTTCCTCAGTCTGTCCCATCCTACCTAACCTATTTTCAGACACTGCCTTGTTGTTACAGCTAGCCAAAATTAGCCAAGAGAATCCACAGCAGACAAACAGCAGCTTCATTTAGTCTCACTGATTTAGGAAACTGGACTAAAAATAATCTATCCTCTACATACGTATTGTAGCTGCTGCTGTACTGCTGGGAAACATCAGGAAGAGAAAGTTATTTTATTCTGAACATGTCCGCTCGGTCTGAGTAGGAAAAAATAAATACACACACACACACACACATATATATATGTACGTATTTTTTCCCCCTGCAGGAAAAACTTCAGTGAGCCTAAAGACACATACGACTCCCTGGATCTGATACTGCCTAATTCAAGAGAACAATGCCTTAGTTACTTCCAGAGACTGGCTTCCAAACACAAATAAGACTACATTTATACATTTATCTGGAAAGTTACTATTTAAATAGTTAAGTAAATCTGACCACAATTATTGGGACAGCCTGCTAATCTCCTCAACAAAGAATGGACAAAAGCAACTTGCTTCAATAGAAGAGGCAGTGGTGGTGACTCTTCTGTGTTCACAGAAGTTACCCAGGTTCTGTTTGGCAGCATTTCCAACCAGTTCCTAAAAATAAATGAGAGATTATTTGTTTCTATAGAGTTCTGAACATACAAGTGGCTGAGCTAAACTTGTTTTAATGAAAACATTCACTTTTATCAACTATTTACTTTCCTTAGAGGTTGCAACAGAACAGCTTTTCCTGGGCAGTCTTTTTATTTAAAAAGCCATTTATTTTATTACTTCGTGACAACCTCACACTATARAAACTGACACCTAGGAAATTCCTTTTGCTACAATGTGCAAGCTTGATTCTCCACTTGTTCATTACCTGATTACTTGTTGACTACCCACTCAAAACGACAAAAGTGTTATGCTACTCTGAATCAGACCCTTATAACAAGAGTACAAGTCCTCATTTTAAAACAAATTCCTCCTGATGTATATTCACAAAAGTGAGAGAAGGGCTTATAGATCACACAAGTGGACCTAAATTAATATCAAAAATTTCACCAAGCGCCCAAAAAGGAACTTTGTTACCACTCACATTTATGCCTAACCTCACCATGCCTTACAGCTGCTGTGCTCAATACATCAAATGTCAGACACATCTGTTAACTTCACACRTTCTATTAGTTTCTCATTGATATTTAAATAAATGTAACATTCACTGAAYTTAAGCATACTGGCAGAGAATAAATTAACCCACAAATTAGATGGCATATTTCTAGTCAAGGCAAGATTACATGGCTATAAAACCTTTGTTCCAAAGGTTTCTTAATCCAATTCTTTTTCCAGCTATACTAAAACTAAAAGCAAAATGCAGTATAAACTCAATCTTTCCAAATTTGTGCAATAGGTTAAAAAGKTTTATAAAAGGATTTGCTATCTACTCCCTCTCTCCTATGCAAGACAGGCTAAATTCTGAGGGACACTATTAATATCCAGCCCTCCTCCTCTTTCTTCTGTGATACTAAAACCTGTTAAGAAAGAGTCTGGGCCAGATCTGTAGCTAGAATGTGATTAAAAWCAAAAGGGTTTGGTTTGTTTTACCCTTAGCACAGAAACTCTGGCCTTTTATAATTTTCTCTKAACTGTAATCTTCTCTATAAGCTTTTTTAATTGGATTATTTGTTTGTAAGACTCTAAAGAAATACTGCAGTCTTAAAGCCTGGAGATTGTAAGCCTCAAATCAGGTATTTACTTTGTAATGTGTTGAAGTGAACTACACATTTAAGGTCTGATCTACACAAATGCACTCACCTGTGTAATCCCACCAAGGTCTGTGGGACCACCTGGTAAAGATCACTGCTACACAGAAAGGTTTGAACAATCATGTCCTTCGTTTGTCTACTGTACGAGCTGTGGAATTTGTATACAGGGCATCCAAGCTGTTCTTCATAGTATGCAAAACAAAATCATAAAGTGAAATATGTCAAAAGCTAAAATGAGTTCAAGGACAAAAAACAGGCACCTTAAGTTTACTGAAAGTAAGTACAGGCAGTACCAAAGATTAGAGTAACTGAATTAATTACAAACTGTTTTCCTCTGTTAGCTGCTGAGCACTTCACTGTTTTGGCATGATGAATGCTTTGAGCAATGATTCATGAAGAGTTGCTCATACTAACAACGAGTCTCCATGAGAATTTTTGACATCATCAGGAGTCAGCAATCAAGTCTATAGAAGGCCAAAATTTTGGTTCTGCTTATGACTCTGTGAGAAAGTTCTGGCTAAGACAGCAACAGCAAAGAGTATCTCAAACCTCCCTTATACTGGAGCACCTGCAGAAGGGTAACACCTAAAGGACTCACTTAAAAYGGTGAGCACAAGGCAAGGGAGAACGGAAGCTCTCTTTAGTCACCTCCAATCAAATGACTTCTAGGGAGACTAAGATGAAGTTGCCRTCATTGTGCTGAACCCAAAGGCAAAATATCTGGCAGATCAATCCCTCCTGTATTATAGCTATTCTGTTTGTTACAGGACATGAACTATGCAATTAAGCTCTTTTTTTCCCCACTCACAAATGTATCTTTATTTGTATTCCTGACAGAACATAAACTCTGGATCAAAGTTCCCCACGTTTCACAACAAACCAACAGAGAAATCCTCTCTGGCAACTTGCCRAGATGACTAGCGTCAGTGCAGTGACTGACATGGCAGAGCAAAAAAAGGTCTGTGGTAGCACAACCAGAAACTTTACTCTGCTCAGCTGTGTTCAATTTGGTAGCTATTCAAAGAAAGGATGACACTTCAGAACACGCATACACAAAAAGGCTACTCTTTAATGACTTCCTCATTTTGTCTATGCATTTAAGAATGTATGGGACACGCTGAAGTCTCTTACAATTTCCAAAGAACCTTGATCTCTTCATCTAGTCTCAGAATTGTGTGCTTTGTGGGTTTTTTCTTCTTCTTTTGGCAGGGCTTTCGCAACCTTTATTTATAAGAACAAATCCTGTCACCAGATCTCATTTGTCTATGACTATTTAACACACTGTGACAAAAGCCTATGCTGTAAGGCAGCGAGCATTTACTAGAGGACACTTCTGAAGAATAACATGGTGCCACAGTCTCGAGGGGGTTCATAAAGTATTTGTAGAGCAAGTCAGCCCTCCAAAGAGCAAAGGGCAAAAGCATTACTAATGCACACTTGAGACTTCTGTTCTAATGCTGTGGTTTAAAGTGCTGAGGGCGTTGCTGTGCTTAAGAGATTACTTCTGCTCTCTTCACCCCACATTTGCCCCTCCACCCCGAAGGTAAGCTCTGTCACGTACTGATTTGCAATATACGAAATGAACAGGGAGATGATGCTAAATGGGGGTGGGGGCTGGACACGGAGTTTCTCCTAAAAAGCAAGCAAAACCTGTAATACCCAATAAAGCTACAAGATGAATGCATCTGAGAGACACTCCCAACTCTCTCAAAGTCTGTGACTCACATTCATTCGCAGTAACGCAGCTTTGCTGGCACAAGCAGTATTATTTTCAATGTACGTCACACTCAGGCGGTTGCTGATCTGCGAGATACGGCTGGTGCCAGGGGCGTTTGGGTGGCACCGTGAGCAGTCACGCTCGGGGTGGAGCAGGATGCAAACTGTTCTGTGCCAGGCGAGCAACCCTACCTGCTTGCTCCTCAGGCGGAGGTTGTAGGAGAAAAGATGTTGAATTAAAAGCGGCAAATTTGGCTACTGCCTTCCCCCACCGTTTCCTTTAAAGATACGGTTCACTAATTTTCCTTTTCTTTCTTTCTTTAGTAAAGGACAATATGCAGATAACTGGAGAGGGGGGGCTGTTGCCACATTTCAATAGAATAGGAATTCAAATACAGAAGGGCATTTTTACAACTGGTATCGCGCATTGTTTGGCACGCTTGTGAAGCAAGGAACGGGAAAGGGGAGTCGCACGTTCCCTTGCCCCGCGACGCCTCTTCCCGGCAGGGTTCGGCAGGACACCCAAGCAGAGGGCTCTGCTCCCGCAGGGCCGGGGAGGCCGCCCGCTCACAAGGGCCCTCGCTGCTCCGCCAGCGCGCGGGGGCGGCTGCGCGCGCCACACACGCGCCGCCCTTGCCCCCCGCCTCGCGGCTCCCCAGCGGGGAGCGGGGCCGGACACGGGCCGGGGCCCTGCCCGGGGCGCGCCCCGCCCCGCGCGRGGGCTGCCCCGGCGGCGGTTATGGCGGTTACGGCGGTTGGACGCGCGCGGGGAGAGGCTGTGGGGGGGGAAGGACGCCCCGCCCTCCCCGCTATTAATAGCGCGGCKGCGGCGCGGGGCAGCCGAGGACACGGCGGCGCGCGCTTAAACGGGCAGCGCCCGCTTAAAGGGGCAACGCCGCGCGCTCCCGCCATGGCGCCCCGAAGGGCCCAGCCCCTCCGAGGGGCCCTCCTCACACCTTGGTYTGCCTCCACCGGGGCTTGTGGGGCCACGCTGTGCCCTTCCTCCCCCTAGGTTTCCATCCTTCCACAGGAATGTCTCTTTCTTGGCTTTTTGCTGGAGGGGGCAGCTGGGGTGGCTGTGAGGCCACAGTGGGTRGGACGGCGCCACCAGCACATAGGGCCTTGCAGTGCACGGCCTCATCCGCGTTTCCTGATGCTAGGGATGAAGAGGTACCTGAGGGACAAGAAACATGCCGAACTCTGTGATTTGATCCCTTCTCCACCAGTGTTGCCAAGAGAGATGGCCTGATGGAGAGGCCATCCCCGAGGGCTCCGGGAAGAGCTCGCCATTCTCCCTTCGGACCCTCRCTATGATCGAGGCCTACAATAACCCACGCAATGGCCCCCAAAGCCTTCAGAAGCCTCCTAGGATCTGCTAAGGCCAAATCTATAAAGCCAGATCTATAAAGCCACTGCCCTGAACTCCCGTCAGTGCCAGGAATGCCTCACGTTATTTTCTTTCTTACCTTACGTGGTCCAGCAGACAGACCAGACCCTTCACTAGACACTGCCCTTAACAACACTAAGGCGCTGCAGCATATGCCCATGGACACTACCTCCCCATCCTGGCTGGCTGGCTCACACGCTAATTCCCCCTTCCTGCAGGTTAAACTCTTCACCCAGCTTCAGTACAAGTGACTTTGGAGTCACATTTACAGAAGCAAATGCACAATTGCTAGAACACGCTGACAACCAAGGGCACATTTTTACATCTGCTTCCACCACACAATTCCGAACAGCTATGGCACATTTAGCCACACGGCCTCAAGCACAGCCCTTATTTCTCATTTTGTCCTCCACAGAGGCTTATCCATGGAGCCAGCAGGCTCCATCCCTGGCTCATGAATGGAACAGATACCTTCTCCTTAGGGCAGAGACACAGGCATCAGCAACCGCAGCCTCTGCCAACGGCAAGAGAGTTAATACTGCCTGTTGGGGCCACGTACATCTCATTTGAGAGCATCTGAGCTGTTGTTCTGCTAGTGCTCGTTAGAAGTGGCCTCTTCTGGCCAACATTCTTTCACAGCGCTCTCTGCCAAGCAACAAACAACATTTCAGCAAGACACACTATTGTGCAAAGCGTGAAAACATATGCCATAAAGGTTATGTTGTTATTCTATCCAGCCACAGATTACCCTTGTCTCCATCAAGATGCTTCAGAGGAACATCTAATTCAATTAAAGGGATCCTTTCATTTTGCAAGTTGTGTACATACTTTGCAGATGCATCAGCACAGCTTGATCGCTGCCATGCATGCTCACAACAACACACCAGAGCCCACAACGGGAAAAGCTAGAGGCAGATGAATTACACATTCATGGTGAACACAAAAGTGAATAGGCAAACTACTGAGACAGGAAGTCCAGAGCAAAACAAAGTGACTTAGACTAAGCAAACTGAGGAGGAAGAAAAAGGGCCCTCAAATCTGGGAGGCTAAATTTTACCTACTAAACATTCAGTTGTCTGTAAGTGAATGGGGAAAGATAAAAGGAAGAAGGGAAAAGCGCCCTTAAAAGGGAAGGAAAGTAACAGTGTTACAGCGTGCCAGGACATGGAGAACATGAGGCAGAGTGGGACAAGCGGAGGGTTGCAGTACTAGGACAGCAGGACAGCAGGCAGTGCCTGCACCCACAAACAGAATGCAGCAGAGCATTGCACAGCAGCAGGGTTAGAGATGGAGGCTTCACCCTCCTGCYTTTGGTTGTGACTCTGGGGTGGGGTAAGAGAGGCCTCCCATCTCCCACAGCCCTCTTCAGATTTGTTGTTTTGGGAATGCCAAACCTCAGGTGCACAATTTTATTCCAGGCAGCTCCTGAAGTCCAGTGGAAAGAAATGCAAGCGCTGAGCTTGACCTGAGATTCCAATTGTRCACCTAAAATAAAAGGACGTTAATTAATAAACAGTTTTGAAGCAGTTGACAAAAATTGCCAAAGGCTAACTATGAAATATATGGTCTTCCCACTTAAAATCCACCACCTTACTCAGAAGGATGCACGTGGCAGGTCCGCTCTTCTATGGTGCTTAGAATCCACGAAATGGCCCATTAAAACAAGGGACATAATAAATAAAGTGGGCAAAAGATGAGCAGAAATGAGACTGGAAACCATTAGACTTTTTTAAACAACTGTTTCTTAAGACAGAAATAGTTTTTAGCTTTCTGAAAGCATCACCCATGATCTAATCTAAGGAGGGTTTTTGCATGTGCTGTGCTGTGAAGAACACACTGTTAAATAGAAGAGTTTGGCAACTTGCAATACCTTCACCTTTGAACCAAGGCACTCTGACAGCCTTCCAGCATCAAGATCATTTAAAATAGAAACTGGAGGTCCAAAACCAAAGCTGCAATTTTATTCCCATTCTGACAATCCCACCAGAGCTTTCAGTTTGCACAGAAAGGTTGGCTGCTTTTCCTGAAGCCCGAGAGAGAAGCCAAAAGCGACACTGCAGATCAGCTGCTCACAGTGCCTGCAGTTCTGTCCCACGGAGTCCAGCCTCCAACAGCTACAAGCTGGAATCAAAACAGCTTTCCTTATGGAAATACCTGGGCAGAGTAATATATGAACAAACCTACCCCTGTGCTAACATTGGGCTGTGTTTAGCGTCAGCAGAAAACAGATAAATATGTTGGCAATCATAAATTCAACAGAATTAGATTAAACCATTTCCACATATTATTTCACATGTATGTTTGAATAATTCAAACAAACATTTCAAGATGGATACAGCAGCCAGCTGGCAAATGAAACAAAAATACTGGGGAATTGGTCTTTAGGCGTCCCCAGCGCTCAGGTTCCAGGCAGTGCTGTCAGTAATACTTAACGCTCACATACTCCCTGGCTGAAGAGATACAGGCTAAGAGAAAATCACCATTTGCAGCATAGGAAATCTTCTATCAGCAGCAAGGTTTGTGATGGTACCCTAAAATCTCAACTCAAGAAAGGGTGAGAGGTCATTTGGAGAAATTACTTGGAAGACATTTCTGCCACGAAAACTAATTCCCAACCCCCACAGATGGGAAACGTCTWTTGGACTCAATGTAGCAGGGTAAGCCACTAGAGAGATATCTAGTTGCTAAGTTAAAAATAGAATTGGATTGCTTTGTTTTCCTTGCAACTTTTTGTTTCTAGTCTTGCGCTCAAAAGCCAGACCCCAGTCGTGTTAACACCATCTCTGTTGTAYTACCAACCTTGCCTGGGCTTCGGCATGAAGTAAAGTGAGGTGAAACACAACAGGACTTCAAGCATGATCAGACACCCCTAGGAGACCTGCTGCACAAGGCACCGTTACAGGATCCGAGGCCTGAAAGTGATTTGCTCTCATGCTGCACGGAGGCTCAACACAGACTGATACAACTGATGAAGAAGCTGCAGTGAAGAACCCGCTCCAACAAGCCCCAACCAGCAGCCGTGCTGAGAGGGAGACACTGAATCCCAGTGCGTGCTCAGGCTCCAGCCAGCCAGGCACAGAGGCACACAGCAGGACACCCACCAGCACTGAATTTCACTTATTTAGGTCAGGATGCCCAGTGAGAACCCCATGAGGGTTTCTGCATGTCCCGTGTGGTGAAACCCTTGCAGACGCATGTAATCCAACCAACTTATTTTTTGTAATATTCAGCTTCTTTCCCACAAACTGTATGTCCCACAGGGGTTAAACAGTGCAGCAACAAAGTTAAAATAGACACAGCAAAGAGCATAAGACTTAAAAATAGATGAGGAATCCAGGAGGCAAAGATACAGGAAGACGTCCCTGGGCCTGGCTGCAAGAGCTCCACAGAGGGCTTTGAAAACAACCCATGAGAATCTTGCCCCATTGAAGTCAACATGGATTTAGCCAGTATGCAAAACTGGGCCAAGACTTTACCAGGAAAGATAAAACTTGGACTAGACCAAGTGAATGAAAAGTCAATAGAAACACAGTGGGAAATGATGAGAGTCACATGCATTACACTGAGCGGGGCGTGGTGGCCCCTGAAAGAAGTAGATATGAGTTCAAGGCTGCCTTTACGCAAGCAAGTCTGATAGCCTTCAAATTAAAGTATTTAGAACAAGATATGCTTTTGTTCTGCAGGGATACCCGCTTCCCTCTCCCCATGGGGTTTTTGAGAGAAGGCAGAGCTGCCTGAAGCCTCGCTGGGTTTGAGACTATGAAAGTTATTCACTACAAACCCTTAGTCTCAGAGCAGCATCGCAGCAGGGCACTTACGGGCCAAGGGAGCGCAGTGCACACTTGGACCCAACGCACAGCTACCCGCAGGACTCACACCTCTTGTGTGAAAGGGCTGCTTTAGGAGGCTTTCTAACCTCCACACCACACAAGAGGCTGAACTTAGTAAGAAAAGCAACTCTGATATACTGCTGTAGCAATTCCTCAAGCGTGTATTTGCGTATGTTGACACTTCTCAAAGGAGGGCTGTTGAGCAGTAATGCTGGGAAATGAAGCATTGCCTAACCCTGAAGAGTAACCACAAGAACAGAAAAACAAGTGTTTCTGCAGCTGGTGTCTTCCTCCCATAGCTCTAGTCTCTAACCTTTTTTTTCTTTTTTTTTTTTTTTTTTTTTTTTTAATTTCAGAAGTCACATGAAGCTCTATCTTGCATTCAATGTTTTAAGATCTATGTAAGCTTGTAGTTTAAAAGGCTAGCAATTACTTCTAACCCCCCAAAAAGTTTGACTGTTGACAAAACACAAAACATATCCCTTAAAAAAAAAAAAAAGAAAAAAAGGAAAAAAAAAAAAGGAAACAAAGCCTTTCTGCTAGGTCTTTTTCCAAGCTTGGCTCTGCAGGTTCAGCAATGCACTAAGGGACAATARAGGCAGCATTAGCATCACTCACTCCTCCCCAAGCAAAGGGGAAACCTGGACAGTATCTGAGGTAGGGAAGGAGAGGAAGGTCTGCTGGAGCAGGTGGCTTGCGCTGCTCTCTGCGGCGAGCAGCAGGACACGGGCATGGCGGGCAGAGGCTGCTGCCAGCTCCTCTCCAGCGAGGCGGCCGCAGCGTCACGGGTGCCGCTGGCCCATCCAAGCGGCGGGTCAGTTCAGCCCACGCTCTGCTACAGCCTGCAGGGCTGATGCACCTCTACTACAGAGCCTGCTCTACAGGCTGGGCTGGCAGCCAGCAGGGCTCCTGCCCATTTACACTCTGACATTTAATCAGCTGGAGAAGAAAGTTGGTCTAACCAGAGAGTCTGCTTGGCTGCATTTCAGAGGCAAGCTAGAAAGGAATTGCTTATTCCAGCATTTGAGCTCAAGAACATGACTGGCCCAGGGTGTGTGGCCAGAAGTGACCAGGATCTGAAACTGACCTGGAAAACTCTGATGAAGAATCACAGAAACCTGTAATGTTGTCTCAGAGAAAAGCATCAAGTCTTCTTGTAGCTGGTGCCTTTGCTGTTAAGATTTTGGAGGATACATGGCATTGCCTTGGAATAAAGGAAAAATAAAACATGACTCCTGCATTTGCCTTGATTCTTATTCCAGATTTGGGCTCAACCTACCTTCTAATTTTGAATGAGGCAAATAATCTCCATCCCTGGGAAGACAACAGGTAGGTACGAGGCATCTTGAAAGTATTAAATTTACCATGTGTACATGGATGAACCATGAACCAGGCACAGCATTTTGTTACAGCACTGGCTTCACAGCACGTGAATCTCAGTAGACTGCCTGAGAAACGCAATTCCCAACTGGGAATAAACAGCAAATACAACTGAAGAATCTCCTGGGAACTCAGTTCCACCTGAATATGATGCAAGCCCTTTGGCAAATAAGATATTCTTTCCCTTGAACCACAGAACAAGACAGCAGGAATGAGACTCACCAACTAGTCTGGCTTTTGTCCGTAAAAAGAGGAAGTGACAGAGTCCCACAGGCTGAGAGCATCTTCCTTCACTTGTGGTTCCACATTACAAGCTGGGAAAAAGGATCATCTCCCAGACTCTACCCACAAGGTACATCCCAACCATGTCCTGGCTAGATTTAGTGAAACTACCTTTGCAGTACAGTGCCTAGAAGACAATAAATAAGTTTTTACAGTCTCAAATGAAGTTAGTGTAGTGTAGAATTCTTCAGTCTCACAGACAGTCTCACAGAACAGCAGGCACTTAAGGTGACAATTCAGCCTTGAACTAACTAGCTGTTAATGATTTCCACTGGGGCTCATACATAGACAAGATGTAGGCATCACAGGGCAGGTAACTAGCCACTTCCTAGAAGCAGCCACTCCAAAGAATCACCTGGCCGTAACCCTGCAGCAAGTATCACCTTACACAACCAGAGAGGCCCATACGAGAAAAGGAAGTGTAAAAAAGAGAAAATGTGCTGTAAATTGAAATCCAAAAAAAGCACTCCTGGGGAACCTATCCTCTGTGGGAATGGGGTGCAAACACCTTCGCTCCCACTCCAGGAGAACCGCAGCAACCTGGCAGAGCCCCCTTGCCTGCACCACGGATGCCCCGGGACACCCCGGAGCGCTCAAGCATTCTGCAGCTGAACCACGCGTGGTGAACATGGAAGAACACATTCAGTTGGCCCCCTGGCCCTGCAGCCTTGGCAATTAAGGTGCTTGCTGCCCTCCCCATCGCGGCACTGCCAACTGAGCACTGGTGGCAGTATCAAAAGCCTGGGATTTGGGCCAAAAATCCTCAGCTGCTCCTTAAATGAACTGTCAGCACCAGGTCCCAAATYACATTAGCCCATGCAATAGAAGACAACACTCCTTGAATCTGCAATTCCAGCGCTTGCAGGATTTGTTTTCATTCCCAGGTTCCAGCCCTGCAGCAAAGCATAGGGTGGGCAAAGGCCTGTGCAGGTGCCACCCCCATCCCACCCCATTGCTCCCTGACAGGGAACCAACAGCACCA